AAACAAAAACGGGTACAGGAGCTCCCCCCCCCCTAGGGGGGGGGGGGGGGGGCCCTCCGGGAAGTCCCCAATTGAACCCCCTAAAGGAAAGGGGGGGGGGGGGGGGGGGGATTGGGGTGATGGGTGTGGCGCAATCGGAGCTGGTACTGTGTAACGCTGGTGAGGGGCGCGCGGACAGGGATCATCAGACGCTGCCAACAGGTGGGGTCTTCTTCCAGGCATCCTACAGAGGTGATTCATCCACACCACCCTGGAGATCTCTTATCTCCCTCCCTGCTCATCTACCGATAGGGTTCCGCTAATTGAACTATCAACTGCTGTGTCACCCATCCACACACGCCGCCTCCTTTAGAAACCCGGAATATTTGCTTCTCTTTGAAAAAAAGCGACACGACCCCTTCGCACAAAAAAGGTAGCACCACTGCTGTTTGGTGGAACCAAAAAAATAAAACCTGTCCATCTCGTTAGCCTCGTGATAAAACCGAGGTGCAGTAGTTAGGGTCGGACAGAAGTGCGAGACTGCCACAGGGTGCAAGTGCTGGCCCACAGCACCCTTGTCCTTTCCTCTGCGATAGACCACGAAACACGAGACTCTCAAACACCCATTCTCCATCCGCGCGGCCTACGATACACGAGCACCTAGATTCCCCCCGAAGCCCTGGGCCCATCATCCAGGCCGGCTACAGAGAGGCTTAGACAATGCACAACCATACCTCTCACCCATGTGACGCATCGTGGATTTTAAAAAAATGGCCCCGACACTGTTTGTGCGCGCAGCAGAGCGGTAGTTTTTTCTTTGCTGCTGTTGCCCTGCCAACTACCCTAGACGTCGTTCTTTCATTCCCCTTCCCTCAGCAATGACGACGTTTAAACACCACGGGCTGCTGCAAGGCCAGCCGTATATCATGCCTACCCATAAAAAAAAAAACAGACGTACCCGTTGAGGTCGCGGGCCGAGAACAGGGGCTGCTCGAGCAGCCAGACCTTCATCGCCTTCTCCTTCGACAACGCCCCCACCCCTTCCCCCCCTACGGCGCCCCCGGCCTTGGCGCCCTGATGATCACCGACCCCGGTCATCTTGCCGGCGGACCAAGGAGGTCTGGGGGGAGCTCCCGCTACCTCGGGACGACGGCAGTGGAGCTCCATCAGCCGCACAAAGGCATCGTAGTTGAGCATCTGCAAACAACAAAAGCCGTTTTTTTTTAATACGGGGAGGAGAGAGAGAGAGAGGATAAAAAGCAGTGGTGGGTGGGTGGGTTAGAGTTTTTCGTGGACGTGTAGAGGTAAGAGCCTCGAATAGAGACCAGAGTGCATTCACATCGTCTACTTGGGAGAAAAGAAAAAAGAGGCACGGAACAGCGCAAGGCTGTAGGTAGTGCAGAGTAACACGATCGCTGCACACGAAAGAGGCACGCACAACTGGAGCAATTACAGCAGTGTATCGGTCGGAGGCATGTTTCCAGCCCAGGGAAGGTTGCCCAGCATCACCCCCCTCCCACACAACTTTCCAGGCCAACATAGGGGAGGGCGAGAAACACATGTTGTCATATGTTATCACAATGCACTCTCCGGGGAAGCCCAAAAACACCGGTAGTATTCTTGAGGACTCAGGTCAGGAAAATTTCAGCACCCTCAAGGCGGGGAAAACATAGCGAGCGCCCGAGCATTGGAGACGGTTCTCTCACAGTGTGAAACCCCATTCCGTCTCGGTAAGGACGACGCTCGGTCGATCGTGCAGCAACAAGAGCAAGCAGCAAACGAGTAAAATCCCTCGTCAATGACCCCCCCCCCCCCCCGCCCCCCTCATCACCCAGGGCAACAGGACTCCATAGGTCACAACACAACCTGCCTAGACGGCAGAATCAGCTCAATGCAAGCTGGGGCAGCAGCACGAAGCCCCCCGCGTCCTTCAAACCTCTTCGGGAGCAGGCAACAGCTTGATTACGCTACAACTCTGTTCGGAAATATAGGGACCACTGCGGCACTCGCGCTTTGTTGTATCCGAATGATCGTTTTCTTTTCGAACGGAGTGGCAGATTCTTTCGACATGCACCACCCCCAAGCTTCGCCCACCTTGAACGACAGCAGCCGGTGGCAGGTGTCGTACAGCTCCACGATGGCCCTCTTGAGGGACGCCCGCACATACGGGTCCTCGGTGGTCGCATTTCCGTCGTCGTCGCCGCCGCCGCCGTTGCTCATGAAGCCGTTGCCGCCCCCGAAGGCGGCGTTAGCCTTGGCCGCGCCGCCGTCCACGTCGCCACCACCGCCGCCCCCCACTGAAGGGCCGGAAGGCGCCGAGGAGGACATTCCCCAGCCGGAGGAGCCCCGCCCGTTTTCGTCTTCCCCCTGCTGCTGCTGCTGCTGCTGCTGCTGCTGCTGTGAAGATGATGACGCCGTGACCCCCATCCCGTTCGAGGAGGATGACCTGCGCCCGCGGATTCTCGTGGCCCCGCTCAGGTTTCCGCTGCTGCTGCTGCCGCTGCTGCCGCCGCCGCTGCTGCTAGCGCTGCCGCCTCCGCCCCTCCCGGCCACAAGAAAGTGTTCCTATTTTTGCGATCGTTCAGTCGGAGGTGCGTGAGCCAAGAGTGAGGCGAAACGTTCCAACATGACCGGCTGGTTGGACAATAGTCGGGGAGCAGATCTGATTCATTTGAGACGAGCGAGCTCGGAGAGGACCAACGTCAACATGCACAGCAGATGTTTTGACTTGGGGGCGGGGGGGGCGCAGATCTGATTCATGGAGACGAGCGACCTGGGAGAGGACCAACGTCAATACACACAGCAGATGTTTTGACATTGGGGGGGGAGGGGCGCAGATCTGATTCATTGAGACGAGCGACCTGGGAGAAGACCAACGTCAATATGCACAGCAGATGTTTTGACTTTGGGACCGGGGGGGGGGGGGGGGGAGGCCAACCCGGGCGCCTCGCGGGGGGACGG